GCCAGTTGAGTTGCTGCTCAATTGAGTGGAAAAATTTTTCATCCATTGGCTTCCATTATGCGGGGAGCGGGCAGGTAAGGGTCCAGGAAAATTCAAGGCAGTCTGAGAATAAGTTTGGAAAATTGTGGAAATTTTCAAGCGATGCTGAGAAATGTAAGGCTGAAAGAAATCAATGAACACGCCACTAATTCACTTTCACAAATAAAGATTCAATAAACAGAGAGTGCTTAAACTTATTCAAACGAAAAGAATAAATAAATATTTAACTTTCAGTTTGTTTATTTGTGGAAGAGAATTTAATTTAAAGTTGAAGGATATTGTATGAAACTGTAACTAAGTTCACTTAAGGATATGTCATGTCATGATTTTATTTGCATATTTAGGCCTAAGTAAGCACAAATATTTTTAATGCCTGCCTTTTTTTGATATAACTGACAGGAAATGTAAATGTCATCCAATTAATAATTACAGAATTCATTAATTTGTGCAAATTTAATAATGTATATAAAACAGTACCTACAGTTTGGCTTACAAAACATTTGCAAAATTGTTTGTCTGATTAAAAAAGCTTTTGCAAATTTAATTGTATAAATTGATAATTATTTATTTATTAGGTTGATTTTGTTAATAAGGCATATGAGTCCTAATTGTGTATTATTAATGCTGCAAAAAAGGTACATTTTTTGGATGCGACAATGATTTTTAATTAGCAATCAAATAATTATTCCAACACAAATGAAAAGAGCTCGATGTGAATACTCTTAACAATCAATAAGCAGCCAAGTACATTTAATTGAAATTAATTTTCATGTAACGAAAGATAATTAATCTAATCAGTTTATCTGCGTTTGTCAAGATCCTCTGGCAAATCTCGACCGAGTTAGGGACCGACTTGTACTCTTTTAACCCAAATCATTTGTCAAAGGCCAAGTGAAAAGCTGCGCGTAAGCCAAATGAATTTGGGTTCGGGTTAACTGGCCCCATAAAGAAGCCTAATAAATGAGGGTAAGGGCGGTCCTTAGCAGCTAATAAGTACCTCAAACAAGTTTCTTAATCCCATACCCAGCATTTTGCAGCCATTTGCCTGGGTCAACGGACACGTTGACAAACATTGGACATGGACCTGAACCCCTTTCTGAAATACCTAACTGGGAATCCGTTCAGGGGCCAGCTGGCTTTAAGTCAAATGCCCGCGTGTGCCAAAAACAATGAGAAGTCGACTTCAATGAGAGTTGAACGACTCCCACGTAGAAAAAACCCAGAAAACTTTCCTTCGAGAGGTAAACGGCTCTGTTTGCCCGGCAAAGTATGCAACCATATTTTACACATGAAAGTTTAGTGCCGCAACCGAAAAAACGAAGAAAAAGGACCTGACTCCGGCCTCCGGTCTCCGGACTCCGGACCCTGGACAAAAAACACATTGTTGGTCGCACGGGCTACATAAATAATTTCCACCACACACTTACTCACTCACCGAGTCCTGGCACTTTGACTAAATGGTGTGTAATAAAATTTAAATTGCTTTTGTCTGGATTTTCTTTTAGTACTGCCGTTAAAGCTGCCTTTGTGATAGAGGAATTTCCTCATCTAGGCCAACTAGACACTAGGGTGACTCTATATTTGTTAGGGGTAAATGGCTTTATATGCTTAAATGTTCTCATTTACCACAGAAACTAAGAAAAATTCGTCTTATTTTAGAAACTTGGGAGTATGGGAACCATAAATTGTTTTTATTGTTGTTGTTTTTATTATTCATTAAGAATTCTAATTCTATTTCAAGCTAGAATTTAAGTACTTTTGAAAAGTTTATATATTTTTTATATTGAAATGAGTTCCATAAGTGTTTTGATAAGTTCCAGTTGACTGAAAATAAGATTATAAGCCTAAATAATTTGTTTAGTTTGGAAGTATATGTAAGGAATTTAAGACTTCTTTTAAAATGCAAAAACACTTTTTAAGTTTGCCTGATATTCTCTTAAACTGGCCCACTGTGCTGGCCAGTGGCCACACACTTCGACATTTATAACAATTGCCCAAATTGCTGCTAATTAAATATGATTTAGCCGGCTAGTGCCAACGTCTGTCTTTGGCTGAGCTGTCAATATTTGTCAGGAAGCGGGCGATAAAGCGACCGTGTCCTTACTCTCGCACACAGACGTGTCTAGGACTAACCCTGACCCCTGACATTAGACCGTGCATGAAACTGGCCTCGGGAAACCAAATTTGTTTATAATTCAAATACCAGAAAAAAGGGCCAACTATGCAACAGCAAAAGTAACAGTAACAGTTGTGGTAAGGAAAATAAAAATGAAAATTGTGGAATTGTACAAAAACGAGGCAAGGAAAACACGTTAAGCAAACACGATAACGATACTATATAGATATGAGAGGAGAGAGCCAGCAAGGACAACAAGGACACTGCCGAAACACAAGCAGGCAAATTTATTTCAATTTAAAAATTTTGGTCACGCTCGACACAAAAAGCGAGTTAAGCGAGTGGGTGAGAAATAGTTGATCCCTCTATGGGTGTGAGAAAAAGGGGGCACAACTTGGGGTAACTGCCATTTGTATAATTGCTGTCGTGATGGAGGAGTAAACTCTGCTCCGCACTGCCAATGTCTTGTCCTTTCTCTCCTCTCTGCCCCTCGAAGATTCCTACTTTATGCCATGACACGCTCCAAGGACGCTTGACAGCAAATGGATAAGGACATTATCATCTGTGGACAGGGCGGCTTAAAAAACGGCAATATGAAAACTAGCCAGCGCGAGGCTAACCGGAGGCCAGATGTTATTGAAATTTGAGATGAGCATGAGCCTCTGGAAAAACCTGCGGGCTATGTAGTAATTCTGAGGAATCTTTCGAAGAATTTTGTGTACAAAGAGAATCTTAACAATGTTGAGATGTCCTAAAATGGTATGAAAATACAACTAATAAATATATAATGGCCTTACTTAAACTCTTTAGGAAATCATTTTCCAAAGTGCTTACGAATAAAGCATAAGCCTTTCACAAAAAACTTTTCATTATTTTAAACCGTCTTTAAATTTTTTATACTCAGGTATAAAAGTTATAAGAAAACTTGAAGCATTTATTTAGTTAGGCATTAACAGACTCAGCTTCTCAATAATTAAAAACTTAATATAATAGTAAATATAAATAGTAAATTTCAAGATATTCCCCTAAGCAGTATTTCCACGTCCTCTATCTTTTTCGCAAAAATCCCAAATATGAAGTAATTTCCCAGAGCTTTTTTCGTCTATCGTGAAGTGATATTTCACGCCGTCAGACCCCTTGAAATATTTATGCAGGAAAGTGAGCCAGCCAGCCAGCCGTCCGTGGACGATTTATGTCTGGGAATTACTTGATATGCAATGGCGATTCGAAATCGCAGACAAGGCTATGGCTAAAGCTATGGCCATATAGTAGAACCGGACTGTCCGGGGCCTTGACAATGGCAATGAGACCGTCGGACTCGTGTGTTGACATCGATTGACAAGGTGTGCGAGGAGGGAGGGTAGAGCAGTTCCTTCAGGTCGAAGGACACCAACACCACCACCACCACATGGCAAACTTTTTCCAACTGAGTTCGAGTTCAAGTCGGCAGAACAAAAAATAAACGTGAATGTCGTTAAGTTGAGGTAACCCACGTGTTGTCCTTGCCCCAACGTTGGATATGTGCAACAAGCAATCCGGAAGGTGTGGGGCTGGGAATCGGCCAGGTGTCCCTGTTCTATATGTCTACATATATATTATATGTTTGTGTGCGGTCAGATTGTTGTGGCTGTGGGAACTAAAAAGCGGTCGAGAATGGTCATTGGATAGGCACACAAAACTTGTCCCATCCTTGAGGCAATCAACGAAATTATAGAGGAAATAAGAAAAGTTTACGACAATTTTCAAACACAAGAGTTTGATGGTTTAATCTGGGTAAAGGGAAGGTGGGGAAAGCTCAATAAATGGGTAAGTTATTAAGAAGTTGGTAAATCGTTATGCAACAGAAAAGTATTCCACACCTATTATCCCCTTTAAAGATATTAATGCCATAATATTACTTCTTCAATGGCTTCAATTTTAATTGGTAATATAAAAACTAAAAATGTCAGCTGTAAATGCAATTCCTAAAAACATTAATCGCAGTTTTGCATGTAAAATTTGCACTTAATCCCACAGGCGATAAAAAGCAAATAGTAAAAATAAATCAAGGTTCCCGGCAATTTACCATCCACAAATATATCAGTGGCATTATAAATTATACTGGCATTCGGATAAAGCCGTAAACACTAAATTATCGCACTCCGGGGACATTTACCAGCACTTAAGATTGTCAACAACAGCCATTAGCATGTGATGCGATCCGCAAGGCAAACTTAATTCAAAGTAACGAATTGAATTGCTCAAACTAATTATTGGCGAGTCCAGTGCAGCTGGGGCAAAGAGGGTCTCCGGGCCCGGATCCGAGTCCGTGTCCATGTCCGGGCGACTGATTTATGCTCGCAGGCGTCGCAAAAGCATTCATCCATCGTGGCACCAACAGTATATCCTTCAACTTGACCGCCATGAATGCTGGCATGGCGAGGAGGTCGGTTCTTCATATTGCGGTTACCCTATAGCATTGATGTGTGTGTGTGTGTGTGAAATGTCCTTGTCAAACACTAATGGCGTCGTCGCCATAGCCAGCGCCATCGCCTTTGTCCTTGCCGGCGTGTTAATGTGCGACAGTTTCCTGCTATGACGTTTCCTTGCAACAAACTCAAATCGAATTGAAAAGCAGCATTTTAAAATTCCCTGTTTGTTTGTGCCACGAGGTAAAGCAATTGAAACATGTTTCCGGCATGAATTCGATCCGTCTCCTTTGGCGAAAATGAATTGAAAGCCAGGACATCTGGCTGCGCTCGCATGGGGTCTCTGGGGTGAACAGAAGGCTGCATTTGCTGCTGCTCGACTGCTTGATTTATCCTTTTCTCTGACTCGATTCTCGATTTCTTTTCCTCTTTTGCAGAATTTATGCCTGTGCAGTTTTCCATCGATTTTCGTCTTGCGCCACAACGGACTGGGGATGAAACACCAAACACATAAAACGGATTTGATATTAAAAAAATATGCAGGTAAAAATAAGAACACATATCGAAACTTTAGGGTGGACTTGGGTATATTTCTGAAGGGGAAATTCTTATATTTTTCAAATTATTATTTTAATATAAATATAGTTTATTTTCCATTAAACAGTTTAAAATTAAAATATATTACAATTAGAAGAATATTTTAGTTTTTCAATTTAAATGGTTTATTTACAGTACAGTATTTCTGCCATTTTTATTGCTTTTCATTCATTTTGATGGTTTCCACTATTCAGATCTATCCGGCATATGAATGATTTTCCTGAAAAATCAGTTAGAATTATGTTCTTTTATTATATCAATCTGATATGCTCAAGATATGCTTTTATATCTCTCAAATATGTTAAGATTAGAACTTAGGCATCATTATTAAGGTTAAGATGAATAGGCAGCCAAATAAATTCAAGGTAAACGCAATCTCATAGAAATTGTTGCATACATAGACTTCGCTTTTTGGCATGCGCTCTTATAAGACCGTCGTTGTGTGTAGTTTGTGTATTTTTTTGATTTAAAAGAGTTAAAAACACAGGGCCACTCTAACCGCACATCATGGCAATATGGTGCAATCTGAAAGTCAACAACACCGAGCGCTGAACGCCAAAAAAGCGAATAGCGAACACCGAATGGTGTACAACGACAAACAAACAAACAATGGCAAACAATGGCTTCTAGCGAGTGCGGCTTATCGCCAAATGCAACATGGCGGTGGCCAAGTCACGTCTCAGCCGGCTCTGCGTTGCCGTTGTTGCACGGCAGTGGCAGTTGCCATTTGTTAACGGGAAACAACAGTCAAGCCTTTTATAATACAGACACACGCGTCCGCTGACATGCATACAAAGTGCGAAATGAGGAACTCAAACAAGCGGCAAGTGGCCCGGTTTAAATTGAAAAAAATAATGCGCGAATTTCGCCAAACAGCGCCCAAGGTCGAGTCCTGATGGTCCACATGGTTGGGGCATAAAGAGATGTTGCATCTCGCAAAAGCAAATATTTATTGGCACCGCACGAAAATGTCAAAGGCAATTGCTCTTCCCCAAACTGCGTAATTAAATTACTCCATCAAGCGTGCACTTGTTGCGGTCAATTAATTTTAAATTACCTCCAGAGTTTCTAAATTATTTGGACTTTAAAACGTAAACGCGCTGCACAAACAACCAGAGCTGCTAATATTTGAGTTATTAAATTATTCAAATTTTTGTTGGCCAACGAAAGTTGAGCTTGTTTAGAAATAGAACATTTTTGCGTGGTTTATGGGAGAGCAAAAATCATTCAATAATTATTAAGCTAATAGAGAATTAGTATTCATGCTATTAAAGAATATTATTATTTAACCATTCCCATTTTCTTTAATTATTGTATCATTTCCCCCGAAATCAATTCACTGAAAAGCAGAAAAGTTTCCAATTAAAAACTTGACTGACATTTTTTGTTAAAAACTTTTGATTTCCCGCTGTTTTCAGCCTTTTAAATGACACTGATGAACACCATCAAATTCACTTCATGAACCCAGCCAATTAATGACTTTCAAGTAATTGTTATGCGGAACCCATTTATTTGTTTAATAACATGGGTAAGCTATTTCCTCTCAAAACAAAACACAGGAAAGAACAGGAAAGCCATGGGAGTGAATAATTAACAGAAGGGAAAATAAAAAACACATCACAGAGAGAATACAAAAATGAATAGAATACAAACTAGACAGCAGGAGCTTGTGCAGATGTATTTTATATTTGCTGAATAAATTGTTAATTCATTTTAATTTAACGCATTTATTTAAATTCATTTTTGGTTATACCATTTTTTTTTATAACATTTCCGACACAATAAATCCATGCCATTTATCATTTATCATGGTGAAGCTCTCAGTGACGAAATAAAAATCGCATTGAACAGAAAGCAAATATGAAATTTATAAAAAAACTACCTCACCTAAAGTGTACATAAGTGTACGAGTACATTTTTTGTGCATCAAAAGTGGGTTGATTTTTGCAGCCATACAAACACATATACAAACATCACTAATGAACACTTATACAAGCGGCTGGGTAAAAAAGTCAATTAATCAATCTGCGTTTGCTTTTTCCAGAAACAAGAAAAAAGGCGCGAGTTGCGCCTGAAGCGATTCTGGCGCTCCCCCAAGACGACTTCCTCGGAGGACTCCACCGGCTATGAGAGTCCAACGAGGACGAAGGCGTCCAGTGCCGGCGGCAGTAGCGATGCCCAAAGATTTAACCACCTGCACTACACTAGCCTGTCGCAGGGATCGGCCACCTCGTCCTCAGCGGGCGGAGCCAATGCATCCGGAGCGGGGCCAACGACAATTGGGCCGTCCGGCAACAAGCCCTCCTGCTCGCTGCCACTTTTGCAGGTGTGGCCCAGCCAGGTAGGCACTTGTCTCCCCATTTTTGTTTGGTTTTCTAATGCACAGAAGGGGGAAGAACACGTTCCAAAATCATTAAATTCGAGAAATAACACTGAAAATATTTTAGTACGTTTTTATAGTTCTGAAATCACGTGCATTACTTTTGCCGCCGTAAAGTATGCAGCGAAATATTTATATGCGATATAAAATAATAACTTCCTTCGATTTTGCAAAACCGCTTTCCTTCTGTCACTGTTTAAGAATCAACAATACTCTTAAAGATTTTACAAATATAAATATATAGAACTGAAATTTAAAGGTATTCAATACAAAATATTAAAGATCCAATATATTAAGCAATCCGCCCATTTTATGGTTGAAAGCTATAAAATAACTTACATTAAAATGTATATCACCTTATCTTGGGACGTGTTATTTCCCCCTGTGTATACCAGCAAATTTAAGTTAAAAGGAAAATGTAGTCAAATATGAGTGTTCTGGGAAAAAAGCAACCGCAAAAGTTTCGAAAATTGGGGCTTTTTAGTTTTATGTTTTTTTTTTCTTTTTTGGAACCACTCGTATGCGAGTTGTTTTTATGCTGTGGCCAGTTGTGCGTTTTTTGCGTTAATTTGTTTCTCCGACTCTCTATTTCTTCCCACTATACCAACACCATCAAACTCCACCAAATCCCTCCAACACCACCAAACTCCACCAACACCACCAAACACCACCACCCGCCTCAAATACATACATACCCTTCTGTGTGTGCGTTGCGTGTTTGGTTCGGTTATGGTTTTGGTTATGGTTTTGGATTGGTTTTGGCTTTGGCTTTGGTTCTGGTTCTGGTTCTGGTTCTGGTTCGGTTCTGGTTCTGGTTCGGTTTTGATTGCTGGTCTGTTGTGGTAGCCGCTCCTGCGCCAGGAGGGCTTCGTTCAGTTGCGACGTAACAGCGGCCCCGAGGGTCAGCGGGTATGGTTTCATCCAGTTCCTCTTTTTCCAGCCTCTCTAGTCTGCTCCACTTCTTTTCTCTACTCTCTCTCTCTTTATCTAATATATGCTACTCGTAACTCCTAACTAGACTTTTTGCATGCCTCGATTAACAATTTAAAAAAAGCCTCCAACGAGCGATAATCGTTTTTGACTACTAACTGTATAAATCTGACCACAGTACCCATCTTGTTGAGGTTATTTTGTGTATTCTACACGTCTTTTTTACCTAGAACTCGTTATTCATGTATTTCTATTGGGAATTTTTCGCTAAAAAAGTATTATTTTTCATGCACTATTTTTGGTAAGGGGTTGGTCGACAAGTGCCCAGGGAATTTGGTTAAAATTGGCTGTAGAGCTGCCAATTTCATTCACTTTCAGTTTACTTTTTGTATTGGTATATGTTCTGGCTTAACTATCCAATTACTGATTGGAATTTATAACGAAATGGTGGCCATTAAAGAATTCAATTAATATTCATATTGCTATCAACTACATGATGTAGAAAAGCTTTTGATATTTTCAGAATTGAGGTGAATCAAACGCTTGTTAAGATAGAGTAGATATTTAATAAAGATTTAATTTTAAATACAGATTATTAAGAAAAGAAATTTTGAAATCAATATATTTTACGGAAAATTAACCTTTACTTGTCGATCAGCCCTTTCATAAACTAACCCCAAATCACCTCGTGTAAGTAAACCCCCCGACACTACACCTTCCCCTGTATAAAATACTGCAATCCCCCAATCCACCCCCTCGAAATAAGTTTTTGAACCACCTAACTAACCAAGTCACCACTGAGAATAAACCACCTCCCACTGAGAAGCAGCGAATCCCACACTGCACCTGAGAACCGGCTTAAAAACCCTTCGAATCCCTTAATAATACCCCCTAAAATGATATCCTCGCGGATGCAAATGTAACATATCTTATATGTGATCTGGACTCTTGCAGGATTCGCCGCGCGGGGAGGCAGATGGCCAGTCCTTTGTGTTCCCGGCCATCGTGGAGACCAGTGTCAGCAGTCCGGTAGCCGTGGCCAGTGGAAGTGGCAGTATCGGGAGCACCAATCTGAGTCTGAATGCCAGGCGGAGCACCAACCACCTCAGTTTGTCCACGGACCGGCGGAGTTCTCTGTACTGTGATACCCTGCACGCCGGGGACTCTGGCATAGATTCGGTGCAGGCCTCGCCCTCGCCGAACGCCTTCATAGCTCCGCCGGGAGTTCACAATTTGCCGCTGGGACAGACGGGCGGAGGGTCCTGCCATGTGTCGCCCACCAGCACGCCCACCCAGGGATCCCCCAATTTGTCTCTGGGGCGGCGAGGCATGCGGAACAGCATTTGCGTGGTGCCAAGTGGCAATGGGCGGAGGAAATCGAGTGCCCTGCTGCATCCTGACCATGCTAGACTGTTCGCCCTACGGATGAAGCATGCCGCTGCCCTGGAAAGGGCACAGACCTCGCCCGACCAGACCTCCATCGAGGACGCGAACGAGTTCCACGATAATGGACTGGCCACCAATCTGCGGCTGTGCTCGGCCTCCTCATCGACGACGTCGTCGCTGACATCCGTGGCCGCGGTCAGCCTGGGCGGTGCCGGTGGTCCGGGTGCGAACACCACCTGTGGCTCCTCCTCCGGCTCCGCCTACGCTGTGGGCGCGGCGGGCGTCCAGCAGCGCGTCTCCGATCCCTGGCTGCAGCCGCAATCCGATCGGGAACGGGACTCCCGGCACGATGGCAGACGCAGGTCCTCGACGATGACCGCTCGCTACTCCCTGTTCGATGCCCTGGACCTGGAGTACGTGCTCTTGAGGGCCGCTGCCCGAGGTTCCGTGGGTCCCTATAGTCTCAGTGAGTCCATACACAAGCTCACCTTCACCCAGTCACTGGCTTTTCCGGCCCTGGCTCGGGGTCTGGCCACCAAGAGAAGGAGATCGGCCACGCATACGAGTTCACGGCCACTTAATCCCCATGAGTCCGGTCTAAATACCTGCGCCAAGGTTGTCACCGCTGTCGTTCTGGTGGCCCTGTCCTTCATGGTATTCCTCATCGTCTACAAGTTTGTGAGGACGTGAGGTTTGCTCCTGGCCCCGTCGCCAGAGCTCCCAGTCACATATCAGGCCAACTACGGAGCGGATGAGGGTTCACCATCGTCCTCCATCATCTCATCGGCGGGCCGCAGTCTGGGGAAGCATATGTCGGGGTTCAGGAGCAAATTGGGTCTGCGTCAGGCCGACTTCGAGTGATCCTTAAGAAGAACGTTAGAACAGGCATTGAAAAACTGGTCAGCAGAAATTTTACTATTCTAAAGGATTTCGGTATTATTTTCTTTATTTTTTGGTCATAGAAACACGTTAAGTTGAAGTATTGATGCAGAAAATCAAAGATTACATAACTTTGCAGCATTAAATATGAAAAAAAAAAAGATTAAAAACTAAACTTGATTTTTAGAGTTATAAATTCGATTTTGGCAAACATTTGGTTAATAATAAATTCTTTCTTAATGCAAATATAAAAATTAAATAACATTATCTCATAATTCTGAGTTAAAACTAACTTAAAAATTTCTATCGATTTTATCCAAGCTTAGTAAAATGCTGCTGACCTGTGAAATTTTTGTGATAAACTATCAATGAAAGCAAATTTTCCACAAATGAAAACCAACACAGATACACGAAAGTGTAACCAATATGTAAGTTAATGGAATAACAAATTAAAGGCTTAAACATTTAGTAAAAACAGCTTCAAGAGGCTTGCCAGAGTTTCATCAAATTTATAATATATACTTATGAATAATAATATTTTTTTATAAAGATCGCTGCTCGCATTTCCTAGGCTCCTATTTAGCAAAGATTTTTGGATAAAACTCAGACTACAGTTTCATTGTTTGCAGTTGAAGTGCCTAACTAATTTTTAAAAATTACACATTACATTAATATACTGCTTACTTTTGTTCTCTTCTTAAAAACGAATTTAGAAATTGGCAGCTGCTTGGGAAACTAAAACGAAAATTCAAAAACATGCGCTGCAGTAGTCCAATAAACTTACCTGTAGATAAAGTGTTTTTGAAGGGGAACTATAATTGGCGGAGGAGATTAGGAGGATATGTGAAGAGAGAAAATAGGTTTTGCAATCTTGTAATATGTTTTTTTTTAAGTTTGTTTAATATTCAAAAATAATATTCTTGTTTCTTAACTTACTTCTACTTCTATCTCTAAAACTATTTAATTTGGTTTTTGAGACATTTAAAAATATCCAAAAAATATCTTTCTTATTGCAAAGCAAAGCTTAGGCCATCTGTTCCACGTTTCTCCTCCGATTTAGTGTTGAATAATTGGCATTAGTTTTAAGGATCAGGAATATTGGCAGACGATTAAGAAACCTACAAACATGAAACATTTGTACTGAGTTGACGGACGGCTAGAAGACGGCGGAAAGATATGATATATAGTATATGGAAATCCAGGCATATTAAATAAACATATTTATGGTAGCTATATATATAGTTATACAAGCAAATAGATATGTATATGTATACATGTATATGGGTGTTTATAAATGTATACCTAAGCGGCTTAAATGTGACAAAGCACTTGCTGAAATACCAAAACGAACTCTCTACTCTTAACTTGCTGCCTTACTTTCCTCTAGTGAAAATAGTTGAAACAACAACAACAAGATCGATGAACAAAGTCCCGACTAACAAATTCTTCATAAATTGCTGCCTTACTTTCCTAAAACGAACAAAAAACAAAACAAAATCGAACTAAAAAACCTTTTGAACGAAAACCTCTTTAACTCTCAGAGCTTTTTTCCTATTTCCTCTATGAGCTTGGCCTAACCAAAGAGAAAAAAAAGCAAACCTAAAAATGTGCAACAAAAATATAAGAAACATTTTATATAGAGTAAAAAAATATATGCTAAATGTAATGTTAAATAATTGATATTAATATTAAAGCTGGCTAAAGTATAAACATTCTGTTGCATAAGTATAAGTTACTCCTTCTTCTCTCTTTTTTGCATACATAATTTCAACATTTGTCGATGGCATTCATCAATATTTATGCATAGTTTTACGACCTTCTCTTTTTTCGTTACGATTGGTGTGTGCAACCAACTATGGTTAAATGAAAAAAATCCATATTAAATGTCACACAAACAGAAATGAGAAGTAAATGAAAAATGAAAATGGAAAATGGAAAACTGTAACCGTAACTGAAGTAAGTTGAAACGTGCAACAATAAAAGGAAAGAAATTTTCAAATAAACCTTTCCATCTGTGTTTCTTTTTCCTTTGTGATTTTCTCAGTGCTGCTGGTGAACATTAAACTGAAAATTCGACATTTTCACTATCGCATTTATGTCTCGATATTTCTCTGGCTTCCGGGATTGGCCAATAACTAATTGAGAGTGACGTGGCACAGGAGAAACGAAGCTAATGAAGATGATGATGATTTATGAAGAGCTTCGATTTTCACCAGGAGAAGTTTGAAATCACTGTAAGTTGAAAGGTACAAAAAACACATTTCCATCTCTCATAAACTACTTAGAATAAGCTTTGGGCTTCTGCAGGAAATATTGTACTAAACATCCATTATTATTATTTATTAAATTTATTTATTTAGAACGCTTGCCGAAATGTCCTTTCCGTGCGACCCATTTAAAGTTATTATATAATATAATAAAGTAATGTATTTATTTATTCTATACTTTAAATGACATTACTACTAATCTTACCAAATTCCCAAAAAGCAATTGCGTTTCGACTATTGGCAAGTATCGATTGTTTTAATCCATAACTAAATAGGGAAAATCCACAAGATTAATTCCTTGGCATCAAATAAATCAAATCATTTTTGATTTAAATAAATTTTAATTGAAGCAATCAAAGCCTTTAATTGCACTCAATTAAAGGTGAATAATAAGAAGCTTTTAATTGCACCAAATAATTGATGAATATCATAAAGAATGGCTGGTCATTGCATAATTGGATTTCTATGTTTAAATTTTAAGCTTCAATTAAAAAAGAAAAAAACAAATTTGATTTTTGAAAAAGCGGCCATTCGTTCGAGAAAAAGAGTAAAAAATAGTACACCTTAGTCATAGGAAAATGGACAACAATTAGTTGCCATTAATATTGCAACATTCAGTAAAAAATAAAGTTTATTAAAATATTTTAAAAAATTTTCAGTTAACATTTATTAAAAATCATGGAAAAAAATTAAAATCAAATTTAATGTACGAACCCGTAATAATTGAATTGTCAGTGAGATGGCTTCGTTGCATATTTACGCAATCGATTTAATGCAGATTGATGAGCGGCAAGAATTTTACAAATGGCAGGAAATAAGTTGTTTTGGGAACTTTTCCCAGTTGAAAATTGTTCCGAGCAATCTCCAGTTTCCCATTTGGCCAAGCAATCACAGTTGGAATTCGGGAAATTCGCAAAGTTCTTCGGGCTTTGTGATAAATCGGGCTGTCGTTGGTTGTCTTTTTCGGCAAGTTGCTAATCTAAATAATTAAGCAAACCCAATTTGATTTGCCATGGCAGGCATATACATATGTAACGCTCACACTTCTCTGCGTGTGTGTGCGTCTGTTGCCAACTAATTTCTTCATAAAAGGCAAAGCAAACTCGACGGCCAGACGAAATGGAATGGAAATACTGGCTGAACGGCAAGGCAAAGGACATTTGGCACAGATTGCCAGAACTAGGCCAGAACATTTGACGAAAGCTCGGCCGGATTAAAGGAACTGGGACCGGAAGAGTCCATTGCCACATATACACACATATGGTGTTCTGGGTGTTTTTGGGTGATTCGGGTGTGTAAGGGGTCTGCTGCATAATTAAGCACGCAAACCGCAGAGAAACAAAAATAAAAGCTCCAAAAATCAGTGAAAAAAGTTGCTGTGGACGAATCCATACAGTGGTAAATACAATTTTCAGGGCCTTCGATTGCTGCTGGCCAGAACATACACATCTCTCTTTCTCTATACGTATGTGTGTATATCACTGGTATATTGTGTATACGCAGTGTGTGACCAGTGGGGAACGAAAGCGTAACAATTGGCCAAATAATTGAAATGAAATTTTAAACGATTCACTGCATTCGAAACGCTCCTATTTGATGACTTTCAATTTCCAGCCTTTGCCTTTGGCTGCATTAAAAATATTTCAACAGCTATTGCTTGGATGCACAGAGAGAAAAAGTTTAAAAGTACTAAAAATTTTATTATTAATTATTAATATTATTAGTTATTTATTACATAAGCCCCTTAATATTACAACAAAGCCAAGCCAACATAATTTGTAATGAGTTTTTAGAATGTAAATTTGTCAATAAAATAAAATGAGTTTCTAATTTAAAGTGAAATAGTATAGGAACCTCTAATTAGAACCTCTAATATTATTATTTTAAAATATTATAGAGGTATAAGCCTTTTTTCTTTTTCATTCAAATATTTTTGATTAATTACATTTTATTTAATATTTGTATTAGGAATTTACATAATTATAGTGTAAGTATAAAGTCTATTCTTGCTGGTTATCTAACATCTTTTTTATCAGTGTATAGCTGCTGCCTGTCTGCGTTGTATTTGTACCTTTTGATACGCCTGGGCCGTATATTTTTAGCTCTCAAGGCTGCCAGAGCATCGGATGCTCATGCGGATGTGGATGATTTGAAAAGTGGTAGGCAACAGTTAGCAGGTGGGTGGTGGGTTGTAGATGGTCGACGAGGTGGATTCGAATTTGGTGGTGCAGGAAGGAGAGAGAGGGTTAAGCACACACGAGCCGCCGCCTTGAGAGCCACCGCAAATGCACCTGTTTTATTATATTTTTTCCACAGCTTTTGTGTTTCAACTTGTTGCAAATACGAGTTGCAGCTGCAGCTGCAGCATCTGTCGAGTCCTTGACTCTGACTATGGGTGTGTCCTTGTTTCGGGGACCTTGGGTAGAAATTGAAAATTTTGTCGGCCTGCTAAACGCTGCACAAGAGCAATATATTCGGCCTCTTTTTTGAGTGGTGGGGCGGAGAGGCGAATGGACCAGAGAAGTTTTGGGCAGTAGGAAGTTGAAAGATTGGACCTCGACTTTCAACCAGGAATAAATGCATGCAATCAGAGAAGGAAATTATATGTGCATAAATTTGTTTGTATCCGGGTTATCAATTTACGATTCTTGAATGCTTCAACCGATTCACAGGGTTTACATTTGTATTTTACAAGTCAAGTATGTGAATTAATTTCGATTTCGAAAATGTTTTTAATTTTTAAATAAAATGGTAATTGAAATATCATAATTTATTCTTAAATAAATTTTTGTGTAAATATTACTATATTTAAAGCTTATTTTAAAATAAATATCAGCAAAAAGTACACTTTGCATATACGTTTCGTTAAATATTATGCTTAACGTACCCTTTGCTTTCTTTATATCAATGCTCATAACGCTTTATTATGTATAACCAAATATTTTCCTGAAAGAATTCACATTTATAATCTTTTCCCCAATGGTCCACTTCTGTATTTGTCCATTAAATTAATGGGTTATTCAATTCTTGGCAATATTTCAGGACAATAAGACAATTTTAAGGCAATATTTTAGGTAAAATTATACAAAACTGCCAGTAAATAAGTGCACTTTGGTAAGTGTTCTTTTTAAAAATGGCACAAAAATATAATTTATTTAAATAAATACAACATGAACCTGAACCGACCTGAACCAACATGTTTTCTTTTCCAATTTCTTCACCTTTAAGTTATTGAAAACAAACTCAAAGGCGCTTCCTTAGCCCTTGCAAAAGGTCAATCTAAATTAGATTTAAATTTTAAATTACGCACACGATGAAAGTAATTTGCCTACAAATTTTGCAAATGATGATCCGCCAAATTGGATGATGGAGGCAGTTTTGTGGATGGGAAAGCCAGCCATTTGGGGCAGGAGGAAAATGGTGTTATGTAACCAGATAAGACCTTCTGTGCCGAAGCCTTGCGCAGACCTTTTGCATTTCAATTAAAAATGATTAAAGATACACAAGAAAAAGGTTAAAAGGCGCGCATGCAGCACAAATTTTGTTGCGGGCAAATAACTTTCAAGAGGAAAAGAAAAACAGCCGACAGGAAAAGTCGTAGAGCCCGAGCTGGAAAACTGTCGCACACACACTCGAAACAAGCAGATAAACAGTTCAGATATGTATATATATATTTCTTTTTTTTGTGGTAACATATTTTATGCTAACGTAGGCCCAAGGCTTGGGAGGGAAAACTAAGGGACTTGCAACCATGGAAATTAGTTTTGCTGACTGCAAAGGGAAAGGAAAACAAATGCGGATACATTTTTTTTACGAGCCAAGCCGGAAACTTGAAACTCCAGTGCAGCAGAAACGAAAAGGACAAGGAAGGAACCGAAAGAAAAGCGCGTGCAGTGGGTTTTCCCCTGACTCGAGCACAATTGGAAAAATCGTCAAAAACGTGTTGGTACGGGGGAGAGGGGAAAGAACAGCGACACAGTGTCTGGATGTCGACGCATGTTGCTGGCTCTTTACATTATTTTCCTCAGTTTTTGTTGCTTCTTAACAATTCTTTTATGATTTCCTTAATAAAACATGCAGCGAAAGAAAAACTTACCGGTATAAGACCGTTTAAAGAAGAAATAATATTGAGAAAATACTCTTACATTTTCCTATAAAGATCAATAACTTTAAATTGTTTTGTTATATTTAAAAACATATTTAATTGATTAATAGAATTTCCAGAAAAGGTTTAAACATTTAATTTTGATTTATAATATCTAATAAAGAAGTTAACAATATTTAATTAAAAGTACCGTAGGTTCAAAATCACAGAAAATAGCAAATAAGTTAGTTTTTTTTTGTTTTTATTACTTAAAGATTATTTGTTTAATGATATCAAATTATTGAAGATAAAAGCCATATTATTTTTTCACTGTAGCCGAAAAACACACAAACAGCAGCCGTAATGTCTGCAATTTCAATTCGACAACATATGTCTCCCTCAGTCATTTTTTCAATTTCTCCAGCTTTGCGCCCTTGGCTAATGTGCTTTATTTTAATGAATTTTAAATTTAATTCATGCACTTAAACCGGCAGTACAGTAGGCACTTTGCCGGTCACAACTATTTGCAAATTCAATGCCGAAGTGAGCAAATGAGAAGAGACTTCCCCGGGTCCAAGCTCGTCCTGCGACTGACAGCTAATTGAGCTCAACCTGCTCCACCTTACGGGCTATTTTACGGCCCCAAAGGAGCTCGCACAAAAGCCGCACACTCACACACCTGAGCCTGAAACTGAAGCTTAACCTGGAAATCGGGCCTGAATCGCCGGGCCCGCCTGTCTCGTCCGCCCACTCTCGTAAGACAATTATGAAATGCGTTTTTTATAGTCCTATTATTGCCGAGGTCCTGGGATGCTTAGAAGGACAACGGGCTACCCTGGGTAAGTACGGCATACAATCGGGCTTTGTTATATGGCCAAGATCGCTTTGTCTTGGAATGCCGTTGATTAAAAATATACGTGCATACGGCTTATATAAGAATGTCCTTTTCGCTTCGAGGGAAAACAAATTTTCCGCTTGTTGAAGTGATTAAATTTAAAATGTTTTACGAAAAGAACGCGTAAAAAAGGTAATTTATCCTAAGAAGCTTACCAAGTCCTTTGTTTCGGCATATTTCCACGAGTTTTTATGTTTTTTATTAAAGTAAATTTTTACTGGACATCCAAAATTTTCATCAATAAACACCTATACCACCTGATAATAATAAACACCACCACTCAAATTAAAACGTTGTTTATTGAGTAATAAATGGAATTTAACTTAATATATAAATGATAGAAACCTTACCATTAGGTTTAAAACGCTTAAAAAAAGGAAAAGAAATAAAAAAAATATATTTTTTATATTTATATATGAATCAGAACAATTCTATTATATTATAATTGAAATAATATAATTGAAAACACCATTAATCTCCAAGAGTTTTAATTTATTTATTAGAGGACAGTGAAAATGTTAAGAATTTAGAAACAGAAAATTACAGTAAACGTTTAATCAATTAATGTTGTGCAGTTGCTAGTGAACTTTAAGGGACTAACTTATATAACTAACATTTTAAACCTTTCCAGTTTTTTGTTAAAACTCCAACGAAAAAATACACATCTTGTTGACCTGATTTTATCCTAATTAAGTAAATAAAAGCAATAAATTATTAAAATTCATACTAATAACTCAGAACTAATATTTTAAATGTAAATTCGAATTACGAGTTTACTTACCTTTGAAAAACAAGGCATCTAGCAGACAAAAAACAATAATTTTCCACCTTTTAAATAAATTTCAAATTTAAAATAACCGTTATTAAACGTTAACACATTGACAACCCTAAGATTCTCAGCTCGACAGATTACGATAGTTGGTATTTTCTGATCACAACACAAGCGGTCACACTGCTTGGCGGCTTCGTCTTTACTACTAAAATTTTAATAACAATTCCGATAAATACAGTAAAAACATGGAACAGGAACCCGAGGAACAGACTTTCCAGCTCCAGGCACTTGAGATACGCGAACCTGATAGCAATTTCGATCCCAAGAAGCCGCCAGAATCCGGGGAGGAGTACTTAATGCACATGCTATACGAGAGGAAACGCTGTCCAGCTGTAGTCACCAAAAGATCACCTAAAATTAAAGATAACACAGGGAACACCTTTGAGATGTTAGACAATGTAAATGGGTCGTACATTTTATATAGCCGATATTAACCTGTTGCTTTTCCAGCCCGCATTGCCGCCGTTTAAGTGCTTGCTGCCCACACCTGAGTGGCGAGATGAACAGGTTAAATCCTTCCAAGCAGCCCGCTCCCAGGTTTTGGTACTTCGCAGAGAGTTAGCCAACCATAACTACGATCAGTCCGCCGAACCGCCTTTAACCTCGGATCAGGAGAAATGGCAACAATTCTGCCGAAATGAACAGCCTCTCTTAAGCACCCTTCTCCATTTGACCCAAAGTGACTTGGAACATCTACTGGAAATGCTCAGCAAATGGCTGAAGGATCCCGATTCACCGGTGGACCTCCTTCAAGATGTCTGGCTAGCCCGCTGGCTATATGCCACCCTGGTTTGCCTTCATCTTCCCCTGGAACCCCATGTGTTCAGCACCCTCCGATATATTGCCCGATCCTGCATCCATTTGAGGAATGCATTGAAGGTGGAGGAAGTGCAGCGAGCAGCACCTTACAATTTATTACTAACCCTCATTATTCAGGTCTTTGCACAAAGTGATTTTAAGGATTATATTTAAGGTATTAAATTATTGTTAAGAAATATGTAAACTAAGCGAAAGGTGACTATTGTTAACTTAATAAGCCAAGAAGCTGTTTTGGATTTAACCTTTTGTAATTGCCTTTTAAATACTTGAAAACATTTTTATTTTTGTCGAAAAAGATACTTTAAATATCGATATAATGTAAAGGAAATTGTCTCAATTTAAGTTTTGAAAATCCATGATAAATTCAAAAGTTTAATTTTCCTCAGCAACTAAAGCTTATTTATGTTATTTTTATTTTACTGCATAATAATATATATTCCTCTAATCTGAATGAAGCATTACAATATTTAATATTTTATAATTTATTTTATTTTTGCCGAAAAAGATACTTTAAATATCGATATAATGTAGGAAATTGTCTCAATTTAAATTTTAAAATCCATTTTAAATTCAAAAGTATAAAAGTTTATTTTTCCTCAGCAACTAAATTCCTGTAATCTGAATGAAACATTACAATATTTAATATTTTATAATTTATTTAAAAAGCTGAAAACATTCGCTTATATGCCTGACATATCTCACAACTGTTGTGGTGGTCATCCAAAGCGCTACTACAGCTGGACAAATGGCTGTACTGCGTCAGGGAGGAACTCTGGCTAAGACTGCTCATTTGGGTTGTGCTGGAACAAGTGGACAGACGACGCTCCTGTTGTTTCTGTTGTTCTGGTGATGTGCCTCTCCAAGCAGCGTAACCTGCATTTGGACAACAATTGGATTTTCTGCCATGACACACTGTTTGCTGCTTTCGGGGATGGTCAAAATGGCTCAGACATCGGCTTTCCACATGGCGATTGACCGGAGGAACATGCTCTTTGAAACTATTGCAACTGCAGCCTTTTCTCCGATCCTGTGTGGTCAATTGGGCAGAGAGCTCCACTTTTGGCGCCAGGATTCCTGGGAAAGCGGGCGTCGCCTTCATCAGCAGCTGGACATTGGAGCTGTGGGCACAGCTCAAGCGGGGAAAAGTGGGCTGCATCACGTCCGAGAGATTTCCCACGAAGTAAGCCAACCTTCGACCATTCTGCCAGACGGTTATCTCCAACTGTTCAGCTCTCAGTAACTCGTGCATATCCTCCAGGCAACCCACGCTCTTGAAATATCCTTCCATTGTGAATTGATCGTGGCACAGCATTGGGAAACGCGGTTCCATGGCTCCAGTTCGAAAGTAGTAGCCCAAGGTCTTGATAGTGGCCTCCAAAAACCCGTGAGAACAAAGCCAGACGCCTGGACAAGTAAGCTGAAAGTGAAAATAGCCTTGAAATTATAGGTAATATTTCCGATTCCACGACCAACCGCATGGAGTTGCAGATCTAACTTCACATAGAATCTCTTGTGAGACATTTCTTGGCTGATTTCAAGTGAAAGTATTCTTAACTGCCAGAGCTTGGGGAGCAGGTGTTGAGGATTGGGGGCTAAAGCGCATGGTTCTTTGTTTTGGAGCTACCGGTTGCCGGGGCAGCGGTTAAAAGTGAAATTTAAAGTCGATTACTTATCGATAAAGGAAGGATGTCATATTGATAATGTCAAGAAAGTGATGTAGCTATATTAAGTTATTAATAAGCATTTAGATATATCTTTAATTGAAAATTAGTGAATTGTTATTTGTGGTAATTCCATAAGATAAAACAATGATCAAAGTCAAGTAGACAAGTAAATGAAAAAAAAGCCAGTCGGCTATTTATCGTGTGAATGAACTATTTAAATGATAGCTAAATTGAGGAAATGGCTCATCTCTAATATTAATAATAATAAATAGAACAACAGAGCCAACTAAAGCTTGAAGAATGTCAGCAATTACGGAGATACCTGTACACTTGCCAAAGCTGTTGGCATTGTTTAAGTCATGCGTGCCAAAACTGACTAATTCCAAGTACAAAGGACAGTACGGACGCATCGGCGTAATCGGCGGATCCTTGGAATATACCGGTGCCCCCTACTTCGCGGCAATCTCAGCGATAAGAGTGGGAGCTGATTTGGCGCATGTGTTCTGTCATTCGAATGCATCCTCAATTATCAAGTCCTACAGTCCCGATCTAATAGTTCATCCTGTACTGGATTGTGCAGACGCTGCAGAAAAAATAACGCCCTGGTTGGATCGACTTCACGTAGTTGTGGGTATTTACTTATGTATTGCATTTAATCACATTCTAAATGTGTGCTATTTTAAGGTCATTGGACCTGGATTGGGTAGGGAACCGAGTATCTTGAAAACCGCATCAAATGTACTGAAAATTTGTATGGATGCTCAGAAACCAGTTGTAATAGACGCCGATGGATTGTTTCTACTTAACGATAACATTGAATTGATCTGTGGACAGCGTAATGTCATACTAACGCCAAATGCAATGGAATTCCGGAGACTTTTTGGGGAGGATGTCAATGCTGCCCGCCAGAAAATGTCTCTTCTAGGGGATGGAGTTGTAGTTCTCGAAAAGGGAGCCAATGATAAGGTTCATATTCCTCCAAGCAACGAGGTTCACCTATTGCCTAGCGGAGGATCCGGTCGAAGATGCGGCGGTCAAGGAGACTTGCTTTCGGGATCACTAGCAACCTTCTTTTTTTGGACCTTACAGTCAGGTCAACCGAATCCTGCACTTATTGCTGCAGGTGCCTCTAGTTTTTTTGTAAAAAGATTGAACTCGGCTGCATTTCAAAAGTTTGGCCGTAGCTTACTAGCTAGTGACATGGTTAACGAAATACCGATAGTATTTCAGACTGAATTTGAAAATAGCGACCCTCAATAATTTAGAACTGACGTCCGGAAATGAGACTTTACTAAGCCAAAAATTGCACATTTAAAACAGCAAGAGTGAACGTTACCTTGATATAAAGATGTCACTAATTTGGTGTGAATGAATATCAGGGCCTTAAAACATATCGGTTTCGGTTAAAGTCAAATATTTCCTTTAGAACTTGGGCAATATTATTATAATACCTAAACTTTTTTAGCACCACGTAAGAACATCTGTTTCGTTTCTTTAATTATTGAAAGCATTTATGAACAATAAACTTTCTAATAAATAAGCAAAATAGATTGATTTTTGTAGCTTGACTTAAAAAAAATTTAGCTTTCGATTAAAAAGACATCTGTTAAACACACCAATAAGAAATATTCAAATAAAAAGAAGAAAGAATAAAATGGGTAAACAATAAAAATTTCAAATATCACACATTTTTTTGCACAGATTTGGCAGTTAAGTAGCTAAGTTGGCAGAACTGTCTATATGTGGGTATTTTAGAGCACTGCTTCTTATCTGAAGCGGCATTTCCACGTCAGGTTTATTATTGTTTTCGAAATTAGCAAACAGTTGCAATGCACCTCAGAAAATATCCTGTCATTCTGGGACTCGTAGTCCTACTCCAATTGGCCAGAGGGAATTCTCCTGAAGAGGAACAGGGAGTTCGATATGCAAATCGCTGTGAAGCATGCAAAATCCTGGCTGCCGAATTGGAGGCAAGGCTTGGAGAGACCGGCAAGTCACACGATGTTATAGAAATTGGATACTCAGTGGATGATGTGAAGCCCAAGAAACGCACTGAATACCGAAGGAGTGAACTGCGACTACTGGAATCTCTAGAGAACGTTTGCGAGCGAATCCTGGAGTACAATCTACATAAGGAACGATCTGACAGTACGAGATTTGCCAAAGGAATGTCTCAGACTTTCCAAACCCTTCATGGTCTCGTCGATAAGGGTGTTAAGGTTGATCTGGGAATACCCTATGAGCTGTGGGATAAACCCCCAGTAGAGGTCACCCAAATGAAGACACAGTGCGAAAATTTGCTGGAGGAGTACGAGGAAATTATCAGCGATTGGTATTTCAAGCACCAGGATAAGAAATCACTAAAGAAACACCTCTGCGAAGACCACGTCCTCAAGAAAAAGGCTGAAAGGGAGTGTCTGAAGGAGGAACTTGCCCCTCCAAAAACCAAAAAACCCAAAAACGAAAAATCTAAAGGCGATAAGGAAGAGCTGTGAATCAAAAACCTAAAATATATTCAAGATATTTGATTCCATTTCGTAAAAAAGGAGAAGTTCAAGATATTTTTTTAGAAATGGAAAATAGTATCAGATTTGATTAACTATAGAACAAAGCAAAAAGTGTTTAATTAGTTTAAGTAAACTCACGATGTCTCTCAATTGTATCTGTAAAACTTCCACATCGACTGAGCCACTAAATGTTACTGAAAGTTTCGCTTGGGGCCATTGGCTTATTGATTTCGGCCAAGAATTGGGGTCGACAATTAAAAGTTGACTGCCCTCAATAAGGTGGCCTATTGTAACCCCAGCACCATCGCCAGGTGTTTACACTCAACCCAATTTACAAATGAGACTTATAGCATTTCTAAGGAACCTTTGGCAGCTTGTCAACAATTGCCTGTGAAATTGTAGCAACAACTTAGTATTAACTTTCAAATACATTTTGGCATAATTCTTATTGTGAATTGTTTTCTTTAAGCAGTTTATACGGGATTCTCCCATTTAAGCATCTTTGGCAGAAGTTTTAATTTTTTACGCTTAAACGTTCATATTTTCAAAACAAATTAATTATCCCTTTAAATAAAAATGCTGATGAAAAGTGTAAATCAAATTAAAATACTTATGCGTTGCGTATATTTAAAAGTAAAAAATATTGTTATAATGGTAATTGGATTTTCCATCTTTGAGTTCTAGTTCTACTACAGGGATCTTCTAATCGTGGGGTTTTTGCACCCAAAACGAGGTTTGTTTTACTTGTAAAGTCAAAAACCAATTCGAGATGGCGGGTGCAAGAGCCCCCTAGATATTAATAAGCTTAGAGCTTCATCACATCCCAAGGATCGTCCATATAGTGGAGAATGGCTTTCTCATGCAGTCTATCGCCAAAGACTTCTCTTAGCAGCCGCAAAACGCGTTCCTCAATAAATGCCACCTGATCTTGGGGGCAATAATCATCCTGAGCGGAATGAGCCATCGTAATGGCTACGGGAGGAACTGGTAGGCGTTCTATAAATCTCTTGAAGTTCGCAAAGTACGTCTCCAATTCCTCAGCGGTGCTGATGTGATGGGGCAAGCCATTGTTGTCGGTTGTAGTGCCCGAATCGAAGATCAAATGCCAGTCAATTTCATCGTCGGGGTATTTTTCCTGCAGCAGCTCAGCCAGTCTTAAAATCTTCTCATAAACCTCGGGAGTAACCACGCTTTCATCTGGTTTCTCCAGTCCCTCGAAATTCCGCTCCTCCTCCAAATGCCAGAAAATAGTCTTTAGAGCATCCAACTGCGTCTGTCGCTTGTCTGCCGTAGCCATATAATCTGCTACAGTAGCAGTACCCGACTTTTTCACCATTTCTACGCTTTCGAAATGGAAGATCTCCTTTAACTGATTGTAACAATCAGCATCCTTGTAGATTTCTAAGAACGGATTGGAGGTGCTAAAGAAATCGAGATCTATATCGAGAACAAATCCCTTGCCATCCTTCTCCGTCAGGAAATCATTGGGATTGAGGCTTTCGTCGTCTGCATCGTGTACCTGCAGCTCCACGCTCTTAGAGTCCTGGAGATCCTCGGTAGCACAGTAGTTGCCATCTGCTATGAAGTAGTCCAGCGGACAGTCCACACCAATCCGATCATCCTTTTGACCGACCTTGAAGTCGTGCCTGCCAGTGGGCAACTGCTGGCACCACGAATTCTTCAGCCAGACTACACGATTGAAATGTCCTTAATGGAAAATTATAATAAGTTATTTTGATATTCTAAATTGAATATTTAAAGAACAAGATTTTTTATGAATATTCCTAGTTCTTTCAGGGATTTCTCACCTGCAAATAAAGTGGGCATGATCCAGTTTTCGATGCTGAGTTCGTTGAGCATGGTTTCCTTTTCGTACGTCGAACTGGCGGCTATGTGACGGGGTATGACTAGATCCGGATGAGAATCGAAGTGGACGAGAGTGTTGTTCTCCAGGGGAAGATGACGGGTAGCCAAGCAGCGGTAGATGAACTCCATAACATCGTTGTGATAGTCGACGATAAATACGGGGATGCGCTGGAAGAATCTCGGACTGGTTTTCCTGTTACTCTGTGGAATTCCCAGGGCGGGAACTAGTTGCGGAATTTCTTCGTCATCGTCATCCGCTTCATCATCAGATTCTTCGCTGTCCTCGCTCTCTTCGTCTTCCTTCTTGTCATCCTCCTTTTCGTCTGCAGTCTTTTGTCTCTTTGTTGGCGGCGCCTCTTCTACCTCCCCCTCCGCAACAACATTCGGCACCCATTTCTTCGCACTTTCGGGACTTTCACTTTGCGATAGTTTCTTTAGGGCCGCCGCTGCACACTCCTTGTCCAGCGTATCCGATTCCATTTCCTCAGGGATTACTTGTTGTATCCGCTTTGGTTTTAATCACACTTTTGGATTACTTTCACAGTAGGCAGACTTTATTTCTTTTGTATTTAATTTTTTGGGGGTCTTTGACCACTAACAGCTGTTCAACAGTGTGACCAGGTGAGGCTAGAGTGTTGGTATTAAATATTTTCCAACAAACGCCATCTATAAGTTTCAACGTTGGTTGTAAACTTTGCTAAAAATCTGTACGTCATAAAAATAAAGACTTAGAACTTTTTAGATTTTAAGCCTCACAAAACAAATGGTTTGTACTACAAAAAACGGCAGTCTTAAAATAATGAAACCTTCCATTGAGAAGCATCCTCTGCATATATCTAACTACCCGTAACTATCTTGTAACACTACCTCTTAATTAGAAATTAATTTGGTTTTTCTCTTGAAATTTTGAAAGTTTTTTTATCTGTATTGAATTTAGTGGTTAAAATCATAAAAATCATATATCTCGAAACATTTTATAATTTTTGTATTTACGAAATTAAATTCATATTTTATTTATTAACAAAAGTTTTAAATAAATGAAAACGAAATGTCTTAGAAAATGAGAAAGAAGGTTTTTATACCCGTTACTCGTAGAGTAATTATACCCGTTACTCGTAGAGTAAAAGGGTATACTAGATTCGTTGAAAATTATGTAACAGATAGAAGGAAGCTTTTGCGACCCTATAAAGTATATATATTCTTGATCAGGATCAATAGCGAAGTCGATTGAGCCATGTCCGTCTGTCCGTCCGTCCGTCCGTCCGTCCGTCTGTCCGTCCGTCCATCCGTCCGTATGAACGCTGAGATCTCAGGAACTATAGCAGATACAAAGCTGAGATTAAGCATGAAGATTCTTGAGGTCCCGGGACAGCGCAAGTTTATTACAGCATCCTGCCACGCCCACTCTAACGCCCACAAATCGCAAAAAACTAAAATTGCTGAAATCTCAGGAACTATTGTAGATAGAAAGATGAAATTCAGAAAGTATAATCTTTAGATGACAGCGCATTTTATAGTGCTACTACTATCCGGCCACACCCACCCATACGCCCACAAGGCTCAAAAGACGGTTATCGGATTTTCTAGAAAAGCTGATATCTCGGTAACTATAAGAGATAGAAAGTTCGGATCAAGTATGTATGTTTCTATAATGCTCCCAATGCGAATTGTTTTTTTCCGATCACGCCACGCCCACTCTAACGCCCACAAAACCCGAAAAACCAAAAATGCAAAAATCTCGAAAACTATAAAAGCTACACAATTTTGCTTTGGAACACGTATTTAGGAGATGCCTCTGCAACTTGCCACGAAGTTGCACCCAGCCACGCCCACTCTAACGCCCACAAACCGCGGAAAACTGTGGCGTCTATAATATTATTATGAATGCCTTCGTTTGACCTTGTGTAACTTATTTCTGTTAATATCCATCGATTTACAAAAGATTTTTCAAATCGGAACATTATTTCGCTATTTATGAAGAAATTAAGGTTATAAGGCTCCACATGGGCAGTGACGTCACTATAAGCATACTCAACATACTTCCTCTGACAATAGGTGGCGCCTTGTGAATTTCCACTAGCAAAATTAATATTTTAAAATTGTGTAAAACAGTAACGGGTATCTTATAGTCGCGGCACTCGACTATAGCGTTTCCTCTTGTTATACCTAAACTTATGTCATTTTTTGAGAAATAGTTTTTATTAAAGGCTAAAAGGTGCTCTTTATACCCGTTACTCGTAGAGTAAAAGGGTATACTAGATTCGTTGAAAAGTATGTAACAGATAGAAGGAAGCTTTTGCGACCCTATAAAGTATATATATTCTTGATCAGGATCAATAGCGAAGTCGATTGAGCCATGTCCGTCTGTCCGTCCGTCCGTCCGTCCGTCCGTCCGTCCGTCCGTATGAACGCTGAGATCTCAGGAACTATAGCAGATACAAAGTTGAGATTAAGCACGAAGATTCTTGAGGTCCCGGGACAGCGCAAGTTTATTACAGCATCCTGCCACGCCCACTCTAACGCCCACAAATCGCAAAAAACTAAAATTGCTGAAATCTCAGGAACTATTGCAGTTAGAAAGTTGAAATTCAAAAAGTATAATCTTTAGATGGCAGCGCATCTTATAGTGGTACTGCTATCCAGCCACACCCACCCATACGCCCACAAGGCTCAAAAGACGGTTTTCGGATTTTCTAGAAAAGCTGATATCTCGGTAACTATAAGAGATAGAAAGTTCGGATTAGGCATGTAGGTTTCTATTACGCTCCGAATGCGAATTGTTTTTTTCCGATCAAGCCATGCCCACTCTAACGCCCACAAAACCTGAACAACCAAAAATGCAAAAATCTCAAAAACTATAAGAGCTACATAATTTTGTTTAGGATCACGTATTTAGGAGATGCCTTTGCAACTTTCCACGAAGTTGCATCCGGCCACGCCTACTCTGACGCCCACAAACCGCGGAAAACTGTGGCGTCTATAATATTATTATGAATGCCTTCGTTTGACCTTGTGTAACTTATTTCTGTTAATACCTATCGATTTACCAAAGATTTTTCAAATCGGAACATTATTTCGCTACTTATAAAGAAATTAACTTATAAGGCCTCACATGGGCAGTGACGTCACTATAAGCATACTCAACATACTTCCTCTGACAATAGGTGGCGCCTTGTGAATTTCCACTAGCAAAATAATATTTTAAAATTTTGTAAAACGGTAACGGGTATCTTATGGTCGCGGCACTCGACTATAGCGTTTCCTCTTGTTTTATCATTAATTGCAATTCTTTATTGATTTTTTAGAATTAAAATAAAGCACTTTATGCCTTACATGTAATGTTATGTGTAAATAAAATAATGTATACACAGATAAATATTATATTAAAATCTGATGATTCAATTTAAAATATATATTATATTATTATTAATTTTAAGATATCTGGATATATGGTTTTATTTCCGTGTGAGTATCGGATAAAATGATTAATAGGCAATCCGCTTCATAAAATTTCAGGCGCGGTGTCAGTACGTGACATGTCGAACGCGACAAAAGTAATTTTCTAATGTCGCTCGACTTAGACAAATCTTTTAATTCTTTTAAGGGTAGAATATGAAATGAATGTTTTAATATTTGAATTGATTGAAATGAAACGTAATCCGTATGAAATAGTTACTTATCATAGCGCGATCTTAAGGTGCCCAAACTTGGTGATAAGCTACAGGACATACCTAAGGAATGCACGACGAGTCTCAACACGCATCTTTATAGCATAGCTAGGAAACTGGAAACCGCTTCCGCCAACAATGCGAAACCCAGAATAAGAGTCAAACGAAAACTGAAGAGGCAATTCCTCAGAACTAACCGGGTTTTTACTTAACTGAAAATATTAATCATTAACCTTATTTATATAATTAAGGACCCAATGTCAATAAAACAAAACAAGTAAAGTTTCGATTGTTGCCACATGTTTAGCATTACGAAACACATAATACAAATTTCTTTACAAATAAAAATGAATTCTTCGCAAATGCTAATATTTTGACAGCAACTGTAAGCTAAAAACGCCTTTTAGGTATGCAACACAATGTAAAATAAGAAAGTTTATAATAGGTATCTTAAAGTCAAGGATTTGACACTGTTATTACTATTTTAAATTTGACTTTAAAATTGTAATAACATAGTCAAATCTGAAAGTAAAGATTTGAATTTTCAAGTTCTTTAAAGCAATTTTTCGATGGGCAGTTCATTAATTAAACAGCACTTTATAGGCTCAGCCCACACACAAGCTCTTTACAATCCGCAATCCACACAATCCGACCTGCCTCCCCCTCACTACCCTCTCATAGACCATCTTCTGGCCACCAGCCACCCACATTTCAAGGTTACTTCACATTTGGAGACTTTGCTTTGCGTCCAATCAATATTCCGTGTGTATCCGAAGCTCGGACGCTTGCCATAATGCGATTGCTATTGAGACGCGGTGAGAAGAGGTGCCTGTCGAGCTTTCAGCCCGCAAAAAGCTGGCCCAGCAGTCCGCCCACGCTTCCGAGAAGCTTTTCATTCATAAGATTTTATTTCTTATATATGTATATATATATCTTTTTGTTCGGTGTTTGACTTTTTGCAGGGGGAATCGGACGCCCACATGGCTGATTGGAATGCGTAAAATGCTGCCATAGTGTGTGTTACTGTGTATCTGTGTGGCTTTGTATCTGTATCTGCTGGCTTGTATCTCCGTCTGTATTTTTTCGCTTTTTTGCTTTTTGCAGCTGGTGGAAATGAATGGCGGCCTGGTGGTCTGGAAAAGCGCCGACTGCGCTGCTCGGGCGTTGGCGTGCAATATTTCCGCTGTCGAGCGTTATCAAAAATATAACTGTATATAGACATTTGTGGGTGGCCCCTGTACATACAGCGACACTCTTCTTTTATAACCATTTTTTTTTTGGAGGCCAAGTTTCTGCGTGGGCCGCAACACCCTCAATGGCATCACCCGTAATGGCCAGTTCCACGTTGTCGCGTAAAATCTGTACTACGGAGTAGCTAGTTATCATAATCAATGGGGCTTGCCTTTAAATCTGGTTATATTAACTTTTCTTTTGCACTTTTTAAGCTTTTGTTTTAATAGTTCTAATGTACCTATCAATTTTTTACTCTTAAGCCTTTTGAACGAGCTTTTTCTTTAAATTTTCTACTTCTTTCGTCCAATTCAATTTGGATTTTTCCTTATTTTAAATGAAGAAATATACAATTTAAATAATTACATCTTAAACATTTTAAGTATTATACATTTAATTATATTAATATGTAAAATGTGTTAAAGAAAAGTTTCGTTAATACATTTTATTAAAACTTTTTTTTTTCTGTGAATAATGATGTAATAGGAAGAAGGCCCTCTTGCAGAGCTCCATATTTGATTTACAAATTACTTGGGTCAACATAATTAACGAGCCTGCCAGCTCATTGCTCACCCAGAAAAATTCTAAAAAAATTTGGATGGAATGGTATAAGTGTTTGTGCTCTGGGGATATCCCCATCCCCTATAATAAAACGGAAGTGGCAAGTTTGAGAGCATCGGCCCTTTAACTCGACATTTGATTGAATCAATTGGCTGCAATTTGGCTTTTCATTTTTGTTTTTGTATCAATTACAGCGGCACCGCGCTTTCTCTAGCTGTCTCACCCAATTCTCGCAATTAATTTGCCTTCGGCTTGACCCTGGAGGTCAAACACTGCGTCGCATTAACCTTCGTTAGCCCCTCCGCCATTTCAATTGAAGAAGGATGAACTGGCGATGACAGCGACGACGATGGCGGCTATAATGATGGCGCAAAAGAAGCACCGGATCTGGCAGGAATTTCTACGCTCGAACGCTCTAGTTTAAAAATACAATCGCGTAATGTCAACATCGAAAAAAATCAAAACGAGAGGGGTTTAAGAACTTGTAAAAGATATGAAACGAAAGCTTAAATGTGCTAGGGGATTGCTTTTATAAATTTAACACAATCTAAGGCTCTTGCTAACAAAAAATATAAAGGGTAAGTGCAAGGTTAGTTTCAAAAACTATACCAAAAACCAAATATCGATTTAAAATATTTAAGCTGAATATATTTTATAGTAAGTATCATACTAAAGACTATATAATTAGCATTTAAATCTTTTCAATTACCAACGATAAAGCAATTTTTATACTTATTTTAAAGACGCGTTTAAAGTTATTTTAAGTTAGCCTTATTATTTACCCATTAAAAACAGACGACTACATTAATGTTCCTCTATTAATGTAGTCGTCTGTTTTTAATATATTAAGGGTCACAAAATTAAAATTTAGTTTAAATAAACAAATGCCTCCGAGAATCTTTATTTACTTTATAATCATAATTTATTTCAAAAATAAAATGCAGAAAATTCATTGAGCCGCCGGCGAATGACGTCAAAAGGATTTTGATTTTCGCGTAGGTGCTGCTCCTTTTTTCCTCTCGTCCTATATTTTGTCTTATTTCTTGTTGCCCTTCTGAAGAAGCACGTGGCACAGGCTGCTGTTTAAGCCACCGTGAGCTGAGTGAAATGGCCAAACTAAAGTGAGTCAGAGGGCCTGAATGGTACCAATACCAATCCCAATCCCAAAGTGAGTACAACCAACGTCATTCGAATTTCAATTCGCTGAATAGTCAGTCAGTTGGTCAGGTCGCAGTTTGCCTCATATCAATCGCAACTTTTGCTCGCGTGGGCGCCCAAAGCCAAATGATTGTTTCACATCTGTTGGCCTCCTCGTCATTCTTTCTTCTTTTTTGTACGTCTGGAACAGTTCTGGGTTTTTAGCGATTATTATGGCTATTTAAAGCCACTCTAAACTGCTTTTTGAAGGCAATGTTTTTTTAAATTTATTTAGGTTTAATTATTTATCTTAAATAGTTTATTTAGTGTAATTCATATTATCATATACGTTACTAGTAGGGAAGTAGTTGTTGAAAATTATTTAGTGGGTATAAGGAATAGTTTCCGCGTCTTAATGAGAATAACTAGCTGAGTTGATCTAGCCAAGTCCGTATATCATTCCCGTGGTCCGTATGTCCGTAAGAACGTTGTCCATATTTTCAAAGTTATCTTTTTAAAAAATTTTGTTTTGTTTTCATGAATAACAATGTATACTGTATATCTGTATAATAATATAAATTTTAATTTATTTTTATACCCGTTACTCGTAGAGTAAAAGGGTATACTAGATTCGTTGAAAAGTATGTAACAGATAGAAGGAAGCTTTTGCGACCCTATAAAGTATATATATTCTTGATCAGGATCAATAGCGAAGTCGATTGAGCCATGTCCGTCTGTCCGTCCGTCCGTCCGTCCGTCCGTCCGTCCGTCCGTCCGTCCGTCCGTCCGTCCGTATGAACGCTGAGATCTCAGGAACTATAGCAGATACAAAGTTGAGATTAAGCATGAAGATTCTTGAGGTCCCGGGACAGCGCAAGTTTATTACAGCATCCTGCCACGCCCACTCTAACGCCCACAAATCGCCAAAAACTAAAAGTGCTGAAATCTCAGGAACTATTGCAGTTAGAAAATTGAAATTCAAAAATTATAATCTTTAATTGGCAGCGCATCTTATAGTGGTACTACTATCCGGCCACACCCACCCATACGCCCACAAGGCTCAAAAGACGGTTTTCGGATTTTCTAGAAAAGCTGATATCTCGGTAACTATAAAAGATAGAAAGTTCGGATTCAGCATGTAGGTTTCTATTATGCTCCCAATGCGAATTGTTTTTTTTCGATCAAGCCACGCCCACTCTAACGCCCACAAAACCTGAACAACCAAAAATGCAAAAATCTCAAAAACTATAAGAGCTACATACTTTTGTTTAGGATCACGTATTTAGGAGATGCCTTTGCAACTTTCCATGAACTTGCATCCGGCCACGCCTACTCTGACGCCCACAAACCGCGGAAAACTGTGGCGTCTATAATATTATTATGAATGCCTTTGTTTGACCTTGTATAACTTATTTTTGTTAATATCTATCGATTTACCAAAGATTTTTCAAATCGGAACATTATTTCGCTATTTATGAAGAAATTAAGGTTATAAGGCCTCACATGGGCAGTGACGTCACTATAAGCATACTCAACATACTTCCTCTGAAAATAGGTGGCGCCTTGTGAATTTCCACTAGCAAAATAATATTTTAAAATTTTGTAAAACAGTAACGGGTATCTTATGGTCGCGGCACTCGACTATAGCGTTTCCTCTTGTTTTACATCAATATTTATCTCTCAACTTCAACAACATCTGTCATAATTTGTGTAATGCCCTGCCATTTGGGATTGCCAGCAATAAGTTGGAACATATACGATCCTGTTGGAAAAGGGGTCTTCTCCAGCATTTTATCACTTAAGACCATTTTTGATACGATAATATCATGCTGAAGGTGGAAAATACAAAAGATACATTAACTTCTGTAAAAATAGAGAGCAGAATACCCACATTATAAGGACAACTGTGATTCGCATTAGTAAAGTTGACCATTGCGTCGTGTACTATGCCAAACCAAGGAAATCTTTTCGGATTTCGGATGTAATCACAGAAATCTACAGTGACATTGTACATGAAGGGCCGATATCCACTGAATTTTCTAAATAGACTTAGATTTAACTGAAATGGAAATATTAGTAAAGTAATAGCTTCGTATTGGAACTGGAAAGAATCGTACAAGCACTTTCTTCAATGGTAGCTGATGCATCTTGGCATGAATGAATACTCCCACTTCTCCACGACCCAAAACCTTTAATTCGCACTGCGAAAAGTCGCAAAAACTTCTATCGTAACACTCGCATTTTATATTGGTAACTTTGAAAAGAGATTCTGAGTTGGTGATTAAAGTTAATGCAATAAAAAATAAGGCTGTGTTTCCCAACATTCCGAATATCGACTTCATAGTCACACTTTAAACTGAGGCTTCACCTCTACCAAACATGGTATTACGTACCTATTCAATTCTAAAGAAATTTGAGTTTAATTTACCGAAAAAATGAATAATAAGCGGAAAATATTAAGTGTTATTGAATAATTTTATGTACTTATTCGAATAGGACCGTTTATATATATAGTATCATTATATTTTTTAGCTTTTACATTATATTTTTTTAGCTATACATTTAAATTATTCACAAATTGCGTAATATTTGAAAATATATCATGTTTTAATTTGGAATGTCTGTAAAAGCTTAAAATTTATTTTATTCAATGAATGTGATCTTTAAAAGAGGATTCCTATATAGGATTAGCAATGATACAAATAAAATAGATACCTATTCAAAAACACATTAAATTTAAGTGAATAAACCTTAAATACAGTTTTGGCTATTAATTTCGGACAACACTTGTCTGGAACAACGTCATTGGAGTGCCTTGAAGTGGAAATATTATGAAGGAAAAGGCGCACGAGAAGATATATTTGGGAATCTGTGAGATATATCAGACTCTTTGGTCTGGTCAAACGTCATACGCACATCGATCGTCGCTTGTGAATTGTCGAAAGTCGATTGTTGATTCTCGAGACCCGTGGCGCCCACCGACATCCGCTGCTCATGTGCTCATATGGACGAGTGATTCACAGAGATCTCTCGGAACGGATCTCTGGGGGCTGGACACCGAGATGTGGGCTGGTCCAATACCCAAATACCAGTGCCGGCAAGTGTGTGAGTGTACGAGAAGTATGTCTGATCAGGCGGAACGGAAATATGAATGAGAGATAAGCGGACGCGCCAATTCTTAATCCCATTTCAGTTGTTTTAGGTCAGTAAAGCAGAATGCAGAAGTAGTGTGGGAGAATTATATTGACTACTAGTGGGTTAAAGAATAAGTACATATACTAATTTGTATTAAAATGTAGTACCTAAGAGCTCGCTCAGTGTAACACAGCTTTGAAGTTCTTTGTCTGGTTTACTTAATAAAATATATCTTAAAATCGAATGAGATTTTTGGGTTAGGTCAGTAGAGAAAATATGAATAACAGTTAAAGAATTATACGCAATTAATGGTTTATAATGCATTTGCTGATAACATAAATATATAATTCCCTTGATAGGTCATAAGAAATTAATGGAAAAATTCTTGCCATTAACCTATATCATGAATAAAACTGTGATAAATGGAATATAAAAAGTGGAAAAGCACATATAATAATATCATGAATAAATATTGTATACATAAGTTTTTCAGTAGAACCGATATATGTATGTAAGTTCCCATATGGCAAATCACGATGATCCATTTTTACCCATTTTCCCAGAATTTCCCCTTTTGTTAAGAATCATCCAATTCAGAATTGGCCATGAATAAGTGTATATAGTCTAAAGACTATATCTAAACTCTCGTGCGGGCGTCATCATCTTTATATTGATTAGGCGATTGGATTGATAATCAAGTCACCTGTGATTTTTTGAAATACCAATCGTGAGGTGCAAGAAATTTAATTGAGTTCTTGAGTTTCCATTTAAGTTCACTGCGATAATACTGATAATGCGCCAAGTGATTCATTGAGCTAGAGAAACGGGTTGGGTATTCCCTTTTAGACTTTGAACTTGTGCCACCGAGAAATGGAGCCCCAAGGACTGACCTTGGACTCTACACTGGCAGAAATATATGTAATGCCAAGGCCAGCCCCCGAGACCCACGGGACGTGCAATTGAGCAGCCTTTTGAAGTAAGCTATCCAGGTGCTTACTTCGAATTCCTACGTACTTGAATGCGACACTGAGAGAAATTAATTTAGAAAAACTACGCTTCTTAGTTCAGACGATTTTTAATATAGAATAATTATGTAAGCTAAAAAAATGTATAGTTTTTTATTAGGGTTTTTAAGGACTTATTTGTAAACATTAGACTGCACTCCACCCCGCATTAGTAAATATTATTTGAAGATAATAATTATATATATTTATTTATTTATATTTATTTTATACTATATAAATTTAAAAACACTCAGAAAATGTTCTGGCATTTTTAAATTACCGAAAATAGCAAATTGTTTTACCACCTATGCATAAAATGTAAAGGGTACTCAAAAAACTAGTATTAGATTTTTCCCAGTTGACGTCTCACTGCAGACGAGCTCTTAGCCTCCCACGCGCCAGGGCCAACAGAGAAGTATAGTCCTGGGGAATTACGCCCCCGGAATCTGAGGAGCCGCGTCCCAGTCGCAACCTTGCCCAAAGCCGAAAGTGAGCAGCGAAAAGTGCGTGGGCTAAGCATAGATTTCGTATGGCCGTCCCTTTTGCACTCTGCCTATCTCCGTCGCTGTTCGCCTTTCTTTCTTTATTTCTCCAACGGTTTTCGCTGCTGCGTGGGACTTTCATTCATGAAAATTTAGCTTGAAAGTGGACAGCTTGTGTATATAAAAGCACGTTGTGCTGGGTCTTTACCTAACGGTATATTTGATGTAGGTATTTGTGTTTCTATATACAGCTGATGCAACGCAGGCGCAGCAGAGAGTTTTGTTGTTTGTGGAGAAATTTTTGCACGCGCCGCATATCCTTGAAATTGTCCTTCCATGCGATTTCAGTATATACATATACATATATACAAATATCCTTGTGTGAGGGCCTTCTTTTTGGGTGTAAATATCAGGGTCATGGTTATAAAATTAAACATTTCATGGAGTCTCCAAAATAACGGTAGCTTTGGCGAGAATTTTTGCAGGAGCTTTCCATGCACAAAACACAGCAACTTCATTGATGATTCCGATTCTTCTGGCTTCCATAATTCCTTATCGCTCTAACTTAGTGGTCCATTAACTTTTGCCCGCAAATGGAGTAATATATTAACTGCTCAAAAGAGAGTAACAATAAAGTAGGTGCAAGCGAGAGGGAGGAAATGGAAGTGGGAGGAGGGAGTTAGAGAACGAGAGAAAGAGAGCTAGTTTGGCTGGCGATTTCAATGAATCAACACAAACCCATACATTTTACTTTCCACACGCACACCACTGCACAAAAATATCAATGAACTTTACACAAAACTTTGTGAGCGTATGCATCTTGGAGAAATAGTCAAAGTACCAATGTTGAAGAGAGAGAGAGAGTTGGCTAAAGGCAGGTGAGAAAATCGAGATACGAGCCCAGTTGGGAATAATTTATTTTTATATTAAAAGTGCAACAAATATGATAAAAATTATTAAGGTCTTCATTCAGGCAAGTAAGTAATTGTTAAAAACGAAAAACATTTTTTTTAATTTAAGCTCACTATTAAAAATTTGCCTGTATTTTCTTCATAATTTACTAGAAACTGGTTAGCTAATGCTACTGTGACTGTGACTCCTCGTGACTGCAAATGCAGTTATATAGAAAATTGTTAATTTAAAATATATGAAAAATTTTCTTTCCTTATATTACAGTGTTAATAGTTAATATTTAGCAAACTACATACATAGCAAATAAATATTTTAACGGACCTGAAAACTAAGAATTGCGAAATAATGGGAATTACTTAGACATGTTTCTGTTAGCAAATAACATTAATAAATACTAATAAACATTAAGATTTTTTAAATAAATCCTTCAGCACAAAACATATTAAAAAAAGATTTGATTACTGCATAATTAGATATTTTTTAACTAAATCATTTAATTTTAAATTATTGGTAAAATTAATATCATGTTCGGTAATTGCGATTTTTATTTTTTTTAATTTACAGGTAAATAATTTCATATACTTTTTTTTATAAATTTCGTTTTTGAAAACTGGGTTAATTGTATATGCCAATTATAAGAAAATTCTATTTTATCCCATAACTCCACCAAGAAAATTTCCTAGTGGGTCGGCTGTGCACTGACTCTTGTTCACCTTTTGGAGATTTAGAGAGAGAACTTTACTCTCCTCTCTGGCTCTCTTTAATGTACCTGTGTGTGCGGGTGCGTTCTACCTTTGAATGTGTATGGGTGAGCTGGTAAGTACTTGTTTCGGAATCTTTCCGAAGCTGTTATATTTAAAATTTATTTAAAAATATATTTATTTATTTTAAATGAGATAATAATATTGTGTTTTTTTAACAGAAAATAAAAGCATTGTTGTTACTTAGTTTTTTGCTCTTTAAATTCCGATGAATAATTGGAGAGGCAGAGAGGTAGAGAGAGAGAAAGAGCGAGAGAGCGTGAGAGCGTGAGAGCAAGTGCAAGTGTGTTTGGAGAGCGCAGAGTCTATTTAAGCAACCCGCGAAGCGCGTTTTTTGTTATTGCCCGATAAATATTCACCCGCGCTGTGCTCGCTTTCCATTCAAAAAAAAAAAAAAACATCAACACAAAATATGGATATTTGATAGGCACAAAGTAATAACCCAGTAGAAACCTATTTGTTTGGGGAAGTATTCAACGATTTTCGGATGTTTTTAATTGCTCGGCGACAGGTTTCTCTCTCCGTTCACCGCACGTTTTTTTCATTCGATTCGGAACGGTTGTTGTTGTTGTTTCAGTGGAGCACACCTACAAAAAAAATACAAAACCACTCACACACGAAACACACACGGTTGTGATTTGGCGCGCTCTTGTGTGCGTGTGTACATACAACAAAAGGAAAAAAGAAACGAATTTCGGAGTGCAAAGAAACAAAAAACAGCAAGCGAGAAAATCGGAAAGCCAAAAAACCAAAACAGTGCAAGTTACAGTTTTCACAAATCAAGGAAAAACGAGAAAATTCCCTTTAGATTTCGAAGATTTTCGTTTGAGAGTGTGCGTGTGTGTGTGCAACAGCAACAAATACCAATACCAACGCATAACTAAGAAAGAAGAAGAGAAGCAGCGCGAAGCAGAAGAAGAAAGATGATGTAAACTTTGTTGTAACGAAAAAGAAAAAAGAAAAACAAACGCGTAAAGCAGAGAGAAGAGGAAAACGGGAAAAGTTGTACTTCGAATTCTTCCAATCTTCGAGTGATTTTGAGAATTCTTCAAAATGCCTGAAACAGAGCAGGAGAGTTGCAACAAGGAGTGGCTGCAATCGCAGCTGCGATCCCTTGACTCCAAGGAGCTTATTCTTCTAGACTGTCGTGGCTCTCATGAGTACAGTGAATCCCATATCCGGGGCGCCGTCAATCTCTGCATCCCCAGTATCGTCCTGCGGCGTTTGGCACTTGGAAAAATTGACTTGGCCTCCACGATCAAGTCACCAGAGCTCAAGGAACGTATCCAAACGGGCTACAAGCTCTGCTGGTTCATCCTCTACAATGGCGAGGGCGTGCCCGGCCAGCATCAGGAAATCGCAGGAGCCGGGCCGTTTACCGTCGCCATGGACTCTATCATCAGCATCCTGCACCGTCGACTTAAGCAGGACGGCTGCCGAGTGGTTGCCCTACAAGGTAAGTCATCTTAATGTGATTAAAATTATTCAAAAAGAAAAACTGGATTTGAAAAGTTTGTAAAGCAATCAGGTAGTTACGCGACAGGAACTAGACATTAACTTTTATAAAAATACAAACGGTTGTTTTATCGATAACATTCAAGATTACAAATCCCATCCATTTGAACCTAGTTCTATCAATTTATAACGAACTTTATGGAATTTATTCATAGGTGTTTTAGCTTACTATTATTATAAGAACACAAAAGTTTGTAAGAATTAAAGATTATTAGCTGAAAACCCAAATTCTAACATGAAAATAAAACAGATGAAATCATAATTTAAAGCCAAATGATTAAAAGTCACTTTAAACCTCTTCAAAAACATTGAAATGGTTATGACAGCCTGGCATGTTAAATAAATTCATAACTTCTATATAAACTTTTGTGAAAATTGTTAATTTTAATTGGAAATTGCCACTTGTTTAAATGGTGCCAGTAAGCCCCAAAGAATTCTATATTTGTTGATCATCATTGTGGTATCAGATTCTTAAAATACCTGATACTTGCCAACACCGACCATAAATCAGCCGCGCACATTCCTCTATCCTAGGCCTAACAATATCATAATTTATTTATTTTTACTTTCCCAATGTTGTTTGCGGAATTTTTAGCCCGAAAACCAAAACAAAACAAAGTCGAAAGAATATAATTAATACAAGCAAGCTATGCCATAAATAAACATTTGCTTGGATTTTTTTTATAATTTTCTTTTTTTGCGGAACTACGTGCCGGGGGGAGGGGCCAAAATGAGAAATGCAAAAAAAGACGGGTAGGAATGAATAATGTAATTCGTAGAGCTGATAAGGCTAGCGCCAGATTAGATTTATATTTTTAGTCTGTCGTCTGATCTTGTTGAGTTTTTGTTCTGTAGAGAAGTCTATACTAGATTGATTTCACCTTCCTGAACTTGTTTTCGGTTGACACGATTTTGTTTGATTTTGATTGATGGAAAATTATAATCGCTAAAACTCATGGTTGCTTGTGATTATTGCTTTATTTTGTTAGAGAGAAATATACCTAATATATTAATAATGCAACCTATTTAGAAACCGTAACCCTACGCATCTGAAAATATAAAATGTTCTTTAATTTTCTCTTCGTTTTTGTCACGAAACTTTATGTTAATACAATGGTTTGATTATTTGCCTTTATCACAATTGCAGGGCAATCAATATTAAAACGTGCACATAATGCCAAGTGAGCGATATCGGCGGATATATATCCAATATGCTCAGCATTCCTTTCCAATTATTCATTTTATTTTTAAACACAATGCCTCTCCTTGATTGCCCCATATCAATTAAAAGGCGATTTAAATATAAATGTGCTTTAAAAATCATTTGGCGTTTTACAAACACGTTCGGAGATTAAGGAAGTCATAAATAAGCATCGATTCTGTCGAAGCTTTTGAGGTCTTCCCACTATTGTTGGCCAAATGATTCTTCCATGTTTTCCCATAGATTTGTGTCATTCCGAAAAATGACACAATTGCTTTTCAGACTCGAGGCTCCCATGACTCAAAGCCACATAAATTGTCATATATGCTGCTGCTATACATATAAGCCTGCTATATAGTCAAAATATATACATAATTATCTGACTTGACTGACTGACTATGGCTTCGTTTTTATTTTTATCGTTTCAATTTCCGCTCGCTTACAAGCTAACCAGCAATATTTTTTGCTTTTTACCCCCTGAAAAAGCTTTACGCACGTTCTGCTCTTCCATTCAAACGTTTTTGTGTGTCCGTCTGCTAATATCGCAAATTGACAATAGAGCGTCAACAAATGGACCGGCTTTCCAGCCTCCTCCTCCTGCTCCATCTGTAACTTTTCTTTGTTTACCGATTTCATTTCGAAAGAAATATAGAACTTGAAAGACCAAGAAATTAGCATAACATAAGATTCCTTCTCAACTATGACGTCAGGCAAGGGAAATGGAGATGACACGCCACAGAAAGAGATAGCTAACTGAGAGCATCCTGCTCAGGTAACTACCTGTGCTCAGGTAATTAAGAGAATTGGTCCCGGAAAAATTTTATGACCGGCAATACCAGGGAAACACCCAAAAAAAAAGGAACCTCTTGACATTTGCCAGAAGAACAAAACGAAATGCGAATGAAAATGGGAATAGGAATAGGAAAAGGAGGAGTTAACAGCGTGAAAATCCAGTGTCACCTTTTAAAGGATTCTATTGTTTTTCCGGCCTGCTGAAGTGGCCGCTTTGTTCAGCCGTTTTCCTTAATGATCACGAAATGGTAAATGAATTCTTCGACCTGAGGGAAATATTTTGAATGGAAACATTTACGAGCCACCGACTTTTATTGCATTTCCCGAAACATACCAATAAAACCAATTTCTCAATTTGGCCAAGATGCGAATATTGCTTTAACGATTCGCTTTTAATGATCTGGAAATAGTGAAGTGAATCACGGTCGTACCTTAAGAATAACCGAATTCTAAATCAATTTCACAATTCTGCCGCAATCCTAAAATGATTTTCACATTTCGGTGGAAATCGTTGGCCGGGCTTATCTTATCACGTGAACTGGGGTTGGGCTTGTATGCCCATGCAAATGCACAAAAAGCAGCTGTGTATGGAGGAAATTGTGGCATATATACAAATATATATATATATATATATATATTCTGTATTGGTATGCCAGTATTTATTTGTGCTTGGAGGATATCTATGGCTATTGGTTGTGGTTACGATTAGAAATGGGGCAGGAAGTTTGGGCTGGAAAGCAAACGGAACTGGGGCAGGTTTGCAAAAAAAAAAAAACACGGGAAGGAAGCACAATGCGGAAGCCACTAGGAGGATGTAAATAATGATATGTTTAAGAAATATTTAGTAAAGAAAATGTAACATAGTTAAGGAAAAAATCAAAGTCTGTCAGTGAAAGTAATATCGACATCATTTTATCAATATGAAGAACAGTGGGCATCATGATTCTTTGTCATTTTTAAAGCTTTTCGACTTCAGATTTTAAATTATTTTCTTATGGATCTTTCCCTTAGAATCCTTGAATACAACACCATGTTGCATGTCCATTACAGCTCTTTATGTGCCATTGCCTAATGGCCACTCTGTCTAATCCCTTTTTGAGTTCTGGCCAACAGAAAATCTCCGGCTAACAGCAGGCCAACCAACCGTCGGTAATCAGCTTAAGCTGCCCGAGCAAAATTGGCCAAGAAGTTCTTACCAATTCTTGGGTACAATAAAGTTTTTCCCCTCTCTTTGTCACTAATTAACCTTGAAATTCAATCAAGTCCAGGCAATTATGCGGTCTTTGTTAGCCTTTGATGCTGTCTCTTTTTCTCTCTGTTTCGCCAAGCCAGAAGCTGTCTCATTTTTTCAGATTCAGGCTCAGGACAACGATGAAAACTTTATTAAGTCCCTCGGCAGCATGGAAAATGCATAATGCATCGCGGGCAGATATGGATTCAGCTTCAACTGGCGACGTAAAATTCATTTTAATTAAATGCCACTTTGTATGCATTTCTCGGAATTAAAACAATTAAGATGGGGCCAACTGGGGCACCAACTATATAGGATAGAATGCGAAATGTATATATGTTCTCCCTTACACAGCTAAGGTCATGAGAATAGTTCGCCGTGAGCTATGTTTAAGTTTAAGATATTCTTAAATAAAAGTTAAAGGAGAAATCAAGGTCCGTTGATCGTTGATGGACGCAAAACTAAAATACAAAACTTACTAAATTTGTATTTATGATATATATTTTTTCGTCTGCATCTGCACTTGAACATACATGCGGACTCATTGCTTTAAAGTGCAGCTTATGTATCGTAAACTAAGCATTTCCGTTGACGGAATTTAATTCAATTAGATCTAGCAGAGTTCCAAACCAGCGCGGTGATCGTGGATTCTCTTCGAGGGAGTCAATGAACGATGCATGGATCTCTCTCTGGAGACGGAGACTGGGGAACTGGGAAACCGGGAGATCCGCGCGATGAGAGGGAACTTGAACTCGTCTGCTTTATTTTCTGTCTTCTGCCTTATTTCGTATGTTTTTATGGCCAGGCGGATACAAAGCTCCGCTCTGTTGGCAGCCGACCCTTTTATAGAGATTGAACTCGAGCTGCTGCGCATGCGCCATAAAAAACCACTTCGCGTCGAGCCGCCTGCATTTCCACAGGCTTTTCCCAACTGGCTTTTCTTCGACTCTCCGATTCGGAGTGTTGTTTGCCTCATTTGCTGTTTTTAACGAATTCGTTGTTGTCGCTTTTTGTTTGGTTTATTAGTTTTTGGCCGGGTCCGCTTTGATATTGTTTTTGGGCCCCGACGATTTTCCCAAATGTTTTCCACTGCATTTTCTCTTTGCCAATTCAAATATTCACGAAGTACAGGGGGACAACAATGTATTGAACAAGCAGTGACTACTATCTCTATTTGTAGTTTAACACTTTCATAACGCTGTACATATTGAGGTTCTACTGTAGAAAGTTAGGTAACACGTGGCACACTCCCAAGGCCAGCCGAATGGACCGCCTCTCATTACGATTTCATGATAACTCATCACAAAGGCGGTTTCTCCCAAAAGCCACCTACTCCTCTGAGTTTTCTCACCCCCTTTGGCACCTCCTCCCCTCTTCTGCTGATCCATTGAGGCAACACTGCCAACTGGTCTGCCTTCACCGAAAAAAACAAAACTCAGCCACAACAGCCAGCTACAAAAAAGACACTAAAATAACTGAGAGGCTAAGACAGTTTACTCGGTTGCCCACCTACGTGCCAAAACGCCGTTGGGCCAAATTTGTCTGCGGATACAGTGGGCTAGAATGGGTCATGGAGATCATGTGCTAAGTAGAGGTGTTCTCCACTGAGAAGATTAAAATTATACTACTCTTGGTATTAATTTGATAAATCTAATCCATTTTTAAATTTAAACTCAGAAATGAAATTAAAATAAGATGCTTTCGGACATTTGTACTT